AGCCCTGGCCGGTGTGGCTCAGCGGTTAGAGTGTCAGCCATGCAGTCCAGTGAGACCTGGGTTCAGTTCCCGCTAAGGGCATGTACCTTGGTTGCAGTTTGTCCCTGGCCCTGATTGGGTCGTGCAGGTGGCAGCCACTCGATGTGTCCCTTTCACGTCCATGTTTCTCTCTCTCTCCCTCCCACTCTATCTGAACAAAAAATGGGAAAAAAAAATGTCCTCGGGTGAGGATTAAAAAAAAAAAAATCTGATCTTAAATGATAGAAATGTGGCTGCTTGGCCCTTTTCAGAGTTTGGTAGACAGCAGCGGGGTCCCCTTACAGGAAATGACACAGAGCCCGGACCTGTGGTACCCGCCTGACAGTGTGTCCTGCTGTATTCTCAGACTGACTGGCCCCAGTGGGGAAGAACAGCAGCCCACGACTGAAGCCTTGAACCAGGAAGCATTCCCACTTCCTGGTTTACCTCTTTTTTTTTTTTCCTGTAAGATCTATTGCCACTTGTCACAGTTGGCAGATTCAGCCAGAAGGAGGGACAGCTGGAACTGGTGAGGCTAGGCAGGCTGGGGGCCTTGTTCCTTCTGCCAGGAATGCTTTTGCCTGAGCCCAGTGGTTCTCAATCAGGTGACTTAGTCCTCCAGGCACACTTGACAGTGTCTGGAAACATTGTAGGTTGTCTCATCTTGGGAGGGTGGGTACTACTGGCATCTTGTGGGCAGATTTCCATTGATGCTGCCAAACTTCCTCCAATGCACAGGACAGCCTCACAACGAAGAATGATCTGGCCCCAAAAGTCAGTAGTGCTGGGAGTGAGCAACCCTGCCCTGGACCTTTGCAAGGCTAGCTCCTTGTCTTCCAGATCTTGACCTAAATTGATCTTTGGTTGGGTGGGTTCTGATCAGTCAGCATAATTATATTTATATTATATTTTGTCTGTCTTTTATCTGTATCATCTTCCCTCCAAACTCCCCCGACATACAATATAATAATGACTAATATAAATTCCAAAATCTACAAAGATCAGAGACCTTGTTTCTCCTCACTGCTGTATCCTCAGCTTCTCGCATAGTGTTTAGGGCCTAGTGAGCTGTAATCAATATTTGTTTCATTAATTAATGAAAAGAATTTAACTTGCTCTAGTAACTCGTCCTCTAGCCCCCACTTGTGAGAGTTTCAGTCCTACCATTGAGGTCACCAGTTCAGATATGCCCAGGGCATGCATCTCCTCTTTCTCTCTTAGTCCTGACGCCCCTGTCCTCTTCCTGCCTCCCCAACCCTCCTCCCATGGTGGGAACTGAAGGAGTGAAACTCCCAGGGGCCTCCCCTGGGGGATGGCAGACCTGCAGGACTCAGGGGAAGCCTCTGGAGCATTCACCATCAGAGGAGTGTGAGAGAGAAAGGACTCGAGAAATTAAAAAAGCTAAATGGGAAGGGGTGGAGTGGGGAGTCCTGAGAGTGCCTGGCCATTAAACATTTTTGAGCGGGAAAGAAAGGAATTTAACATTTAGTAAGTACCTTTCAGGTGCAAGGCAAAATAATCTCAATTCTTTTAATAATTCTGAGATGAGGACACTCAAATCTGGCACAATTAAATAACATATCTAAGGCCACACAACTAGGAAGTGGTAGAGTTGAGATTTAAATCAAGGATTGTATGATTCCAAAGGCCAAGTTTGTTCAGTTCTTTAGGGAGACCAGATAAGATGAGTTGTTTCCTCAGAAGAGGTTCTAATGTAGGAAGGGGGTCAGGCAAGCCCACAAATTAACATATGAAAGTTGTAGCAGGTATGACCTCCTCACCAGCTTTGAAGTACAAGTGTCACTTCCCTGTATCAAATTAATTGCTCACCCACATACACAAATTAGTAGGCAGTCCAGTATTTCTCACACACACACACACACACAGCCCCTTACCAAATTGTATTCAAGAACCCAAGGGTTTTAAATATGTTTTTTTTTTCTATCATATTATTATTTTTATTAATTAATTTTTGTTACAGATGTTTCTCCTTTTTCCCCCCCACTGATTCCCCCCTCCCCCTCCCTCCCTGCCTTTTCCCAGTTTGTTGTCCATGTCCACTGTTCATGCATACATGCATATAGGTTCTGTGGTTTATCTCCCCCTACCACGCCCCTCTTCTGGGGATTGTCAGTCTGTACCCCACTTCCACGTCTCTGGGACTACCCCATTCCTCAGACTGTTATGTTCATTAAATTCCACAAATAAGTGAGATCATATAAAACTTGTCTTTCTCTGTTTGGCTTGTTTCACTTAAGATGATATTTTCCAGGTCCTTCCATGTAGTCTCAAAGGATAAGAGATCGTTCTTTCTTACCGCTGCATAGTACTCCACTGTGTATTTGTACCACAGCTTTCTTATCCATTCGTCTACTGATGGACACTTGGGCTGTTTCCAGATCTTAGCAATTGTAAATAGTGCTGCTACACACATGGGGGTACATATATTCTTTCTGATTGGTGTTTCAGGCTTCTTAGGGTATATTCCTAGAAGTGGAATCACTGGGTCAAATGGAAGTTCAATTTTTAATTTTTTGAGGTAACACCATATTGTTTTCCATAGTGGCTGCACCAGTCTGCATTCCCACCAGCAGTGTACTAGAGTCCCCTTTTCTCCACACCCTCGCCAACACTTGTTGTTTGATGATTTGTTGATGGCGGCCATTCTGACAGGTGTGAGGTGATACCTCATTGTGGTTTTAATTTGCATCTCTCTGATAATTAGTGATGATGAGCATTTCTTCATATGTTTCTTAGCCATTTGTATGTCCTGTTTAGAGAGGTGTCTATTTAGTTCCTCTGCCCATTATTTAATTGGGTTCTTTGTCTTCCTTTTGTTGAGTTGTATGAGCACTCTATATGTATTGGAAATTAACCCCTTATCTGATATATCATTGGCAATTATGCTCTCCCATACAGTGGGTAGCCTTTCCGTTTTGATGATTGTATCTTTCGCTGTGCAGAAGCTTTTTAGTTTGATGTAGTCCCATGTGTTCATTTTCTCCTTTGTTTCTATTGCCTTAGGTGATGTCAGTAAAAATTCTGCTGCGTATGATGTCTGAAATTTTGTTGCCTGCAGTCTCTACTAGGATTTTTATAGATTCATGAGTCACATTTAAGTCTTTTATCCATTTTGAGTTTATTCTCGTGTAGGGTGTAAGCTGATGGTCTAGTTTCATTTTTCTGCGTGTAGCTGTCCAATTTTCCCAACACCATTTATTAAAGAGGCTGTCCTTACTCCAATGTATGCTCTTGCCACCTTTGTCAAATTTAATTGAGCATATTGCCTTGGGTCCATTTCTGGGTTCTCTGTTCTGTTCCACTGGTCTATATGCCTGTTCTTGTGCCAGTACCAGGCTGTTTTGATTACAGTGGCTTTGTAGTATAACCTGAAATGTGGTATTGTGATCCCTCCAACTTTGTTCTTCCTTTTCAAGATTGCTGTGGCTTTTCAAGGCCTTTTTTGGTTCCATATGAACTTTTGAAATAATTGTTCTAATTCTGTGAAGTATGCCGTTGGTATTTTGATGGGGATTGCGTTGAATCTGTAGATTGCTTTGGGTAATTAAATATGTTTTTATTGTTTTGTTTTAGAGAGAGAGGAAGGGAGAGATAGAAATATCAATATGAGAGAGAAACATTGATTGGCTGCCTCCTGTACGCACCCTACTGGGGATCGGGCCTGCAACCTGGGCATGTACCCTGACTGGGAATCGAACCAGGACCTCTCAGTCCATGCGACAATGCTCAATCCACTGGGCCACACTGGCCGGGCTCAAGAACCCCAGGGTTTTACAAGGTCTGAATTGGTCAGTCCTAAATGAAAGACATGTGGTAATTACCACCTGGTCACTACTGAAATTAGTCATTGTAAGGGCTGGAGTGGTGGCCCAAGGTTACTGCTCTTTATACTCATATAGTTGATTTATACTGATGGACTCGGCTATTGTCCCAATGGGATTTCAGCCTTGGGCATGTACCGCCAAACCTGTTATGATCATATATGGCCACAGGTATATTTCTGGTTCTACATGTTCTTGTAGAACCTGGTTGGTATTCTCACCAAAACGTGGAGACTAATTCTCTTCCCTTTGAATATGACCTGACCTTGGTGACTTCCTACTATTGAAATGGATACAGCAGAAGTGATGCTGCATGACTTCTGAGGTTGGGTCAGAAAAGTTTATGTGGCTTCCACCTGGTTGCCTTGCTGTGCTCACCTTCAGAACCCACTCACCATGCTGTGAGGAAGCCCAGGTCACATGGAGAAGCCATGTGTAGGTGTTTCACTGACAATTCCAGCTACAATCTGGGCAGAACAGCCAGCATCAACTGTCAGACGTGACTGAGCCAGCCTTCAAGTCTTCCAGCTGAGACAGAGGAATAGTGACAACCTGTCTCTGCTGTGCCATGAACAAATCAACAACTCACAGAATCCATGAACATAATGGTGGTTTTTATGCCTCCAAGTTTTGGGATAATTTGGTTTGAAGCCATTGTAACTGGAACACCCATCCCCCACCTGTGAGAGTTTCAGCTCTGCCATTGAAGTCACCAGTCCAGATACCCTGTCTTCATTGTTTTGAAAGGACTACTCAAAGGTGAATCTTTTTTTTTTTTATCCTCACCCGAGGACATTTTTCCATTTTTTGTTCAGGTTGAGTGGGAGGGAGAGAGAGGAACAGAGAGAGAGAGAGAAACATCGACGTGAAAGGGACACATCGAGTGGCTGCCACCCACACGACCCCAACAGGGGCCGGGGACAAACTGCAACCGAGGTACGAGCCCTTAGCGGGAACCGAACCCGGGTCTCTTGGGACCGCAGGTCGACGCTCTAACCGCTGAGCCAAACCAGCCAGGGCTCAAAGGTCAATCTTTGTGTAATCATGCTTTTGCCTCCTAGGGAGAAGTCATCTGTTTTTCCTCAGCTTTGATATCATGTCCATCATACTGTATTAAAGCTACTTGTGTCTGCTTCTCAGGTCAACTGTGAGCTATCTTAGAGGATGGGCCCACATTGTATCCTATCTCTTCGCTGACACCTGATATATGGTAAGGCTAACAGGTCCTTAGGTACTCACTGCATGAACCATAGACTCAACATTCAAACCCCTTGTACAGTATCAGATAGCTTCAGTAGCTTTGTTTATGTACGTATATATACATGGGAGTATATCTTTTTTCTTTAAAATCAATTCCAATATACATCCACACAATGGAATGTTATTCAGCCTTAAAAATGAATGAAGTTCTTCCCAGCCGGTATGGTTCAGTGGTTGAATGTCGACCCACGCACTAAGAGGTTGCCGGTTCGATTCCAGGTCAGAGCACATGCCCAGGTTGTGCACCTGATCTCTAGTGTGGGGTGTGCAGGAGGCGGCCAATCAATGTTCTTTCTCATCGATGTTTCTCTCTCTCTCCCGTGCTCGCTCTCTCTCTCTCTCTCTCCCCCTCCCTCCCTCCTCTCTTTAAAACCAATAAAGAAAAAAAACATTTAAAAAACGAATGAAGTTCTAACAGGCTACAACATGGATGAATCTTGAAGACATTATGCTAACTGAAAGAAGCCAGAGACAAAAGGATAAATATTGTATGATTCCACTATGTGAGGCACCTAGAATAGTTAAATTCTTAAGAGACAGAAAGTAGAAGGGTGGTTGCCAGGGGCTGTAGGGAGGGGAATGAGGAGTTAGTGTTTAATGGTGTGAGACTTTCAGTTTGGGAAGGTGAAGAGTTCTGTGGATGGTGGTGATGGTTGCACAACAAAGTGAATGTATTTAATGACACTGAATTGTATGCTTAAAAACTGTTTAAAACGATAAATTTTGTGTTACGTACATTTTACCATATTAAAAAATAGGTTTCTATATAACCTGTTATTTCTGAATATCACCAAGAAGATACGGGACCCATACCAGAAAGTCAGCCCTAGAAGAAACAATAGAAATGCCTTCTGGACAGTTTCATCTCTTCCTTGGAAGCCTTCCTTAAAGAGCCGCATGAGAGAAGTCATGTGCACACAATGTGAGCTGCTTCACTTTCTCATCATGTGCCACTTCATGTTCAAAGTTCAGCCCATGATCTTTTCCATGTACTTCCTGCTTCTGTGGCTTCCTGTGGCTTGGGCTCTGCCAACAGATTCCAATTTGACAGCGCTCTTAGGGCGCACCTCTTGCCCTCTGCATGCTCTTTGTGGTGACATTGGACTTGGTAAGACTGATTCTGAAGTAAAGTGCTCAAGGTGCCTAACCCCTTAGCTTGAAGGAAAGAATGCTGAACCAGGAGCTAGAAGGTCTGGATATGTGTCTCAGGATGTGTGCCTCACTGTCTGTGTGACCTGGACATGTTTCACAACCATGTTCCATTCGTGCTCTCCCCCACCTGTTACAAATGCATTCATGCAATGTGTACTCTCCTACCCTTCTTCCCATATTAAGACTACAGCGGTCCCCCCTTATCTGTGGTTTCTCTTACTGTGGTTTGAGTTGTACACAGTCAACCATGGTCCAAAAGTATTAAAAAGTTCCAGAAGTGAACAATCTATAAGTTTTAAATTGCACACAGTTCTGAAAAACTTGTTGAAATCTCACACCATCTGTTTTGTCCCACCCGGGATATGAATCATGCCTTTGTCCAGCATCTCCATGCTGTATGCAACCCCCACCCACTAGTCACTTAGTAACCATCTTGGTTATCAGATTGACTGTTGTGGTATCACAGTGCTTGTGTTCAAGTAACCCTTATTTTACAAAAATTATGGAATATGATCCTTAGATGGGACACAGCATTAAGGTCACCCGAATGATCACCAAAGGATTACAACCTCTGCAGCAACACTTAAATGAGTTAAAAAGAAAGAGACAACAGCCCTGGCTGGTTTGGCTCAGCGGTTAAAGTGTCGGCCCTTGGACCAAAGAGTCACGGGTTTGATTCTGGTCAAGGGAGTGTACTTTGCTTGGGGTTCTTCCCCCTCCCTGGTTGTGTCATGCAGGAGGCAACCAGTCAATGTGTCTCTCACATCGATGTTTCTCTCTTTCCCCCTCTCTCCCTCCCTCCCACTTTATCTGATGATAAATGTAAAAATATCTTCAGGTGAGGATTAAAAATAATAATAAAATAAAATAAAGTGACAACAACTTCTGATTACAGTGTTCTTCCAAAAGGATTTGGCAAAAAAACCTCCAGGAGCCATCCAGTGACATCATCTGTACCTGGCATCCAGCTGTCAACATTGGCATGACTCAATGGGACGGAGTTACCTGAAGCAGATGATCCTCCTTCTGATGTATCATCAAAAGGCCATTAGTAGCCTGACGTTACTTCACAGTGCCTACATTATCCACCTCATTTCATCTTATCACTTTGACATTGTATCATCTTACACCATCACAAGAAGGGTGAGTATAGTACAATAAAGTATTTTGAGAGGGAGAGCACATTCACGTAACTTTTATTGAAGTATACTCTTAAAATCGTTCTATTTTATTATTAGTTATGGTTGTTAATCTCTTACTGTACCTAATTTATAAATTAAACTTAGTCATAGGTAAGCATACGTAGGAAAAAACATAGTATAATAGGGTTCAGTAGGATCCATGGTTTCAGGCATCCACTGGGGGTCTTACAACATATCCCCCTCAGGTAAGGTGGGACTGCTGTATCAGTCATTCACTCTCTTATTGTGAATCAGTTTAATCAGATTGCAAGGGAATGTTGGACAATTTTTCCATATGGAGAAGGCAGGCCTAGAAGAGGTCAGGAGTGAGGGAGGCAGACAGGCCAAGGGGACTCTTTGGTAAGCACCGTGGCTTCTAGAAGCAGGAAAGAGGAGTAAGGAGTTGAGAGACTACCAGTCAAGTTATTAACTGCCTTTGCTGTTGTACAGGAATATATCCTGAAAACAATCTAAGCTGGAATGCCTTTGTGAGGTAGAGGATGGGAACCCTTCCTAGACTGAGTTTGATGTCTGGGAGAGAGGATGTAGGCTACAAGACCTCTCCCCTAGTTCTGTATTTTCTGAGCCACAGCTATATTAGTTATGATTTGTTTCAACTGTGAGTAATAGAGATCCCCCCCGCCTCCCCCCCCCCCCAAAAAAACAACTAGTGGCTAAAAAGACAAGTTTATTTCTCAAATAAAAGGTTATATGTAAGCAGTCCAGGGGTGGTGTGACAGCACCGTGGTTATAAGGGACCCAGACTCCCTCCAGCTTTTCACCTTGCCATCCCTAGGATGTGGTCCTCATCCTTATGGTTTTATATGGCTGCTGGAGCTCCAACCATCACATCATAGTTTCAAAAAACAGAACAGAAGAAGAGAGGAAGGAGCACATGCCACCTCCCTCCCAAGAATTCCCAGACTTCCCACACATTACTTCAGCTTGGTGACTATAACCTAGCTGCAATGGAGTCTGACAAATGTAGTTGTTTAGCCTGGAAGCAGTACACCAACTGAAAAAACAAAAACAAAACATTCTTAATTTGGGAAAAAATTCGAGAGTAGATATTTGGTAGGCAGCTACCACAACAGCCTGAAAGACAATAGCTGGCAAGGTCACTAGGAGATCCAGTTCATTCCACCACACATTCCCTTAGCATTTATTGAGCAGTCATAATACAACAACTGCTTTTACTTTAAGACTTTTAGCTCCCTTTGATGTGTTGTGTATAAAGATACCCAATTTGGCCCAGCCGGTGTGGCTTAGTGGTTGAGCATCGACCCATGCACCAAGAGGTCACCAGTTCAATTCCTGGTCAGGGCACATGCCCAGGTTTTGGGCCCGATCCCCAGTGGGGGGCATGCAGGAGGCGGCCAATCAATGTTCTCTCTCATCGATGTTTCTCTTTCTCTCTCCCTCTCCCTTCCTCTCTCTCCAAAATCAATAAAGAAAAAAAAAATTTTAAATACTCAATTTGTTTCTTATTCATTCAGAAAACATTACTGAATGCCAAACAATGGTAAACATAGCACAGGAGATGGAAATATAAGTAGGACACAAATTTTGAGTCTTCCCTCACTTTATCACCACTGCCCCAGTGCATAGATTTGTGCTGCTTACCCCAACTCTACACACTCTTGTTCTGAAAGCAGCTGTGACCACGCAGAAGGGGAAATCTCAGTCATATCTTGTGGGGGAAGAGAGGAGGTCATGACATTTTAGGCAACACTGAGAACCCAGAAAATATGGAATGCCATGTGAATATCTATTGTTTCAAACTGAAGAGAGCTGTTTCCCTGAAAAGGAAAAAGCTAGATTTCGTACTAAGAATAGAGCAAGAGAAACATCGGCCCAGTGCCTTCAGCTGAGAAATGAATTTCATTAGAGTCACAGTTATTGTCTATTGTCCCCATTGGAGGTTCTGGTTGGGCTGAGATTTGATTTCCACGTCAGTTCTCACAGTTGGCATTATTACTTCCCTTTGTGTAACTTTTGGGAAAAAAACTCAATATGAATCAGATTTTGTTTTTAGTTCCCACCAAAGAGAGACTTATTTTGTAATACAATGAGAACAGACTCAGACTTAGATCAAAATACTTATCACAATGGAGTATCTTTTAGGAGTACTGCCGAGTCCTCTGCCTTTCATTGTTTCTGTGTCTGTAATTGCATCTGTTCCTGTCCCGATTTAGAATGAAGTGCACCTGCTGCCTGAACTCTGACTTCCTTTAGCTCAACCTTCCTTAGTTTTTTTGTTTTTCCTATTTATGAAATTTACAAGCCTGAGATTTATTACTGGATGCTTCCCAGTCAATGGAACACGTAAAACTCTCAAACTTCAAGGGAACACTCATATTTCCTGATTCCCAGTCTTGCTTGTTATTGCCGAAGTTTGAATCTTCAGCCTTCCCAGAGATTCCATGAGCAATCCAAGTTTTTCCAAATTTTCTTCCTTGAATTTACCCAGATTAAAACCAAGATTTAAAAAAATTGTGGTTAAAAAAAAGTTAAATTTACCATCTTACCTATTTTATTTGTCTTTATTGATTTTAGAGAGAGAGGGAGAGAGAAAAAGAAACATTGATGAGAGAGCATCAATTGGCCGCCTCCTGCATGCGCCCCACTGGGGATCTGGCCCACAACCTGGGCATGTGCCCTGACCGGTACTTGAACCAGCGACCTCTTGGTGCGTGGGTCAAGGCTCAGCCACTGAGCCACACTGGCTGGGCCCATCTTAACAATTTTTTAATGTTCAGTTCAGTAATATTAGATACATTCAGAATGTTTTTTATCTTGCAAAACAAACTCTGTACCCATTACACGGCAACTCCCTGTTTGCTCCTTTTCCCAGCTCTTGGTAACCACCATTCTACTCTCTGTTTCTATGAATTTGACTACTGTAGATACTTCATATAAATGAAATCATATAAGTATCTGTCTTTTGTGATTGGCTTATTTCACTTACCATAATATCCTTGACGTTCATCCTGTTGTAGTATGTGACAGGATTTTCTTCCTTTTTAAATTTTGTTTATCTATTGATTCATCCACGACCGACACTTGAGCTGCTTTTACTCTTTGCTATTGTGACTAATGCTGCAGTGGACATGGAAATGTAGATATCAGTTTGAGACCCTGCTTTCAATTCTTTTGGCTAAATACCCAGAAGTGGGATGGCTGGACCATGTGGTGGTTCTATTTTTAACGTTTTGAGGAAACTCCACATTCTTTTTCTCTTTCAGTTTTAATGCAGATTTTGATGTGTATGTACATCAAGGAAACACCAGTGTTTTTAGAAGACACAGAAAAAAAGGGAGGAGCAGAATGTCTATCAAATCGAAATGATCAAAATGGTATTATAGCAAAGTCACAGCAGAGAGCCTTTCATTTTGAGGTCAGACTTTGAAAATTTTCAGTCTGATTCTCACTTCTTTATACTATTTTTGGCCCTTTGTCATTCAACCTTATTTTTCTTTACTAGAATGAGTTCTCAGATAAAGAGGAGTTAGAGATCACTTTTTTCTTTCCTAGCTTTCTTTAATTGTTAGGTGAAATAAAACTAGACAGAAATCAAAGTCCCTTTATGTGCACCATAACATACGTATTTTTTTTTCCTTTATTGATTTTAGAGAGAAAGTGAGAGGGAGAGAGAGACAGAAACATCAGTGAGAGAGAATATCGATTGGCTGCCTCCTGCATGTCCCCCACTGGGGATCGGGCCCATAACCTGGGCATGTGCCCTGACCAGGAATTGAACTGGCGACCTCTTGGTGCATGGGTCAACGCTCAACTAGTGAGCATACCGGCCAGACATAACATACATATTTTTAGGGTTACATGTGCTTTTGGTCCGACAGTGCTAGCAATGTGTTTGATGTCAAGTACTGCTGTGCTATACCTTTACATTACTCCACACACATACAGCATCCCATCTCCTAAAGCAGTGGTTCTCAACCTTCCTAATGCTGTGACCCTTTAATACAGTTCCTCATGTTGTGGTGACCCCCAACCATAAAACTATTTTCGTTGCTACTTCATAACTGTAATTTTGCTATGAATCGCCATAGGAAATATGTGTTTTCTGATGGTCTTATGCGGCCCCTGTGAAAGGGTCGTTCAACCCCCAGGTTGAGAACCACTGTCCTAAACAGTCTAATTTTGAACATTTCTCTTGTCCTAGGGGGACCCAGGCATCAGTATTTTTGTAAAGCTCCTCAAGGCTGGGAACCACCATGCTGAAGAGAAGGAACAGATTGCCACTTTCCCCCAGCAGCATGATTTGTAAATTTACTATTTTTAAATTAAATTTATTGGGGTGACATTGGTGAATAACATTATATAGGTTTCAGGTGTGCACTTCTGTACTACACCATCTGTATACTCTATGGTATGCTCACCAGCCCAGGTCTAGTCTTCCTCCATCACCATATCTCTGACCCCCTTTACCCTCTTCATCCTCCCCTCACCCCCTTCCCTTCAGGTAACCACCATTCTGTTGTCTGTGTCTCTGAGTTTGTTTCATTTGTCCATTTGTGGCTTTCTGATTTCTATCCCACATATGAGAGAAATCATATGGTTCTTGTTCTTTTCCATCTGACTTCTTTCACTCAGCATTTTTATTTAAAGAAATGACAAATGCATTTCAAAGTTCAAGTACCACATTATCTTTATAATGTGACATGTATGGTCTGAAAAATATAAGAGCAAGTATCCCTCAAAGGTTATTCTCTCTACAAGAACAAATGGATAAAATGTATGCATTGAAATTAATGTCCATTAATAAATCATTTTTCCATTTTAGGAATATTTGCCCAGACTATGGTTTATGTGTTATTTCTCACATTTGTATGGCACTTTTCAAAGAGCTCTAGGCCTCTCTTATTTGGGGTGTCCACTGAAGGTTCTCACACAATTTGCTTCTTGTGGTTCTAGTGAGTATTGAATAGTGTGACTC